GCGTTGCATTTGTCTACGTCCCCAACGATGAGACACCCAGTCTGCTTGCCAAGATCAACCATCGCCATCGACACAATCGGCCCATGCATGAGGCAGAGTGAAGCTGCAAGTGCACCGAGCATGCGGAGTGTGATGCCGTCGGCAGCGGAGCGTGTGTGTCGCAGTAGTGAGTGTGTAAGAGGGAACAGCCACCAGGAGAACGACATGCACGATAAGGTCCACCCCGGCCCGTTGGGGAACCAGTCAGAACCTGGTGCGAAGGCTTGCACCAAGAAAAGCGACGTGATGGCACCTCCGGCGAGAAACTCGTCATGGCGCTCCCACCTCGCGACGCTGTAGTAGAGGGCATTCAGCACGTAAAAGAGGTAATACGAGGCCACGATTGCCCCAAATCGCAGGCAGTAGAAGCGCAGGATGCTCGCGCGGTCAGTGTACAGCTTCTCGCGATACGCATACATTGTGATGAACCCCGAAAGGATGATAAAACCCTGAACAGGGACATATCCACGGCCAAGTAGAACCTATATGCAGAGCTCAGGGCCTGGTCACGTTTACGGGAGGCGCAGGACTCGCGGCGACCAGGGGAGTTTGGCCCCAAATGGATCGCGAGACGGCCGCGGCCACTGCGTGAGATGGCCGCAGGTGATCCAAAACGTAAGTACGCAGCGAATGCCACTCACATGCTCGAGCAGCTTGCGCCGCACAGGGATCTTTTGGGTCTGCATGCGACTGTGTAATAGTGCCGCGCTAGTGTGCAAAGCCAATGATGCCAATAACCAATACGCGGCGCTACAACGTAAACGTGGGGTTCAGTCAGACGGGGCCACCCCCGGTCGGTAGGTTGTGACTAGTCGCCGACCACACCCACAAAGAACCCTGCACAAAGATCGCACGGGCGGGGACCTGTTCCTTTTTACTCTGGGCCGGCGCGGGGCCCCCCGGAGGCACCGTGCGCCGCGCAGCAGTGCGGAAACGGGGCTCCGGCGCTCAGAGTCGCTCAGAGCACCGACTTCCCGATCTAACCCGGTCTAACAGAGGGCAGATTTGGAGAGATCTCGAGGAGTACATACAGATAGACCCTCGAACCATAAGAAAACTCCGACCTGATCGGTCGTACTGACCGCCGACAGATCACTCCAGACAGCAGACAGGCCGACGTCTGCACGCGGCCGGCCGGGCGAGAGGCTTGACACGATCCGACCCTGCGACCCTGACGCTGCTGCTCTAGCTATCAGCCATGCACTGCTGACTGCTGCCACAATGTGCGACCTGTGCTGGCCCACTTGGCGGCCTTCCCGGTCAGTGGTGAGGCGCAGTTCAGAGCTGTCGATGGCGCGATGCCGTACTGGTCCCACATTGGTGACACGAGACCACCAAGTTTGCCGGTCCAAGAGAGAGGCACCGGCGCTGTCCTGAGAAGGTGCGTGGTCCCTCTTGACTGCCCATGCGCGCGAGGCTGTGTAGGCATAGCCTCGAGAGTGCCAGCAGCCAATCCGAGGTGACGCGCATTGCGTCAGAAGCCGGCACACGATGGAAGGACACCTTCCTACTGGCCGTACGATCAGGTCGTCACTGAATGCTTGATACTAAGGCCGCGAGCTATGCAGGTGATCAATTGTGCATCATGGCACGGTCAGCTGCGCCGACAGGCTGTCGCAAGGCGTGATAGCATGGCCGCAAGGACGCCGAATTCCCATGAAAACAAGTAAAAAATCGCGAAAAAAGAAAAAAAAACTCCGCAAAATCGGCGCCTGCGGCGGGCCATGGGGCCCCATCTCCCCCCCGCATGGACACCCTCTGGGGCCCCCGCGCCGGCCCAGAGCTCTAAAGGGGAAGGACCCTGAGTTGAACAGGGGTTGTGCGCCAAGCCCTCCTGCTCGGCTCCAGCGAGTAGACAAGTGTTGTCATCAACAGAGTAGAAGGATCTGACCTCGGGGCCGATGTGACCAAGCGCTGGTAGCATGGTTTTACCTCACACCCATGGTCTCACAGTGTGCCGGCAGTCGCCGCGCAGTGTCGCTCACACAAGCCGCAGCACAAGTGACTGAGGGCCAGTGAGGGCGAGCCCATCGCTGTCACAGCTGTGGCAGCCGCACAGTGGGCTGTGTCATCTGTGCAGAGTGTGTGAACAGCAGAGGAGCTGCTCTCCAGGCTTCAGGCGCAAAGAGCTGCATGCCACCGAAGGCGCTGTCGAGGTTCGCCGAGCGCGGCACAGGTTGGAGGACACCGTCACCGACGAGCGCGTTGGAGTATTCACTCCGGACAAAGACGGCCACACGCACACGAGCTGCGGTCGTGTGGCCGTCATAGCGGCGAGGCGCGGGACCGTCTGTGGCGAAGTGGGTCGCGTCCTCCGATTTCCGTCAACTCACGGTCCTTCCCCCGTATGAAATGGAACTAGCCCTAGTAGTAAAGTAGAGCTAGGTGCGTTTTTTTGTTCATTTACGTACTCGTACACGGTGATACCGTCGGATCTCGGAACTGGCGTCGGAATCACCGCGCGCCATATGACAGCATGTGTGTGCATGCGTGTGATTTGCTTGCCATCTTTCAGCCTCTACTCCCCTGCCGCGTCTGCCACCTCCGCCGCGCCCGGCACTTGGGCTTTCCTCCGTCCACGACGGCCAGCGTGGGTGGGCCTCAGAAGGCACATGCGCAGAACCACGTACCTGGTCCGCCCCCCCGACTCGACTAGCAGACTCGACTAGAGGAAGGCGTGCAGCTGCTGCTTGTCGACCCACGCCATGGCGCCAGCCACGTCGGCGACCGAGGCCGGCAGGAAGTGCACCTTGGACATGATCTCCTCGTCGAAGAGGCCGCAAAAGATGCGCCTGCGGACGCGGCGGCGCGGCGGCGCGGCGCCTCGGGCCGGCGGGCGGAAGAGAGGGTGCTGTGCCCGGGGCGCGAGGGCGTGCGGCGGTCACCAGAACGGGTACCAGTACGAGGGGGTGTTGTAGAGGCAGGCGACGCCGAGCCGGCCGGGGTAGTGCCTGCGCAGCACTTGTATGCACTCGCACACGTGGGGAACCATCGACGCCTGGGAAGGGGAGGGGCGGCAGCTGAGAGCTCGCACGGGAGCTAGAAGGGAGGCGGAGGCGGCCTTGCGGCCGGCTTGCAGATGCGTGGCGCCACCCCCCCCCGCCCCCGCGGCGCATCCCTCGCGGCGTGCGGCTGCTGTGGAGCCCGAGAGGGGGGGAGAGAGCAGTTCGGCGTGTGCAGGCGCGTGCTCGTTTCCATTAACGCATGCATTCCTTCGCCTTGAAGCCCGAGAGAGAGATGAGGATGCAAGCGCGCTGCACTCGCCGGCCGCGCCGCACGGGCATGCGGCGGATGTAGTGCTCCATGTGGTAGGCGCAGAAGCGCGTGCACTCGTCCCGCGACGTGAAGCGCTCCGGGTGCCTACCGAGCTCCTTCCAAAGGCTGAGAGGACCGCCGCACCGCTCGCAAGCGCGCAGCGGGAGCGGGCGGAGGGCGCGCCACGCACGCACGTTGACGTAGGTGACGGGCATCCCGTGCCGCGTGTACACCCAGTGCGCGAGCGGCGGCTTCGTGTGCGGCGGGTGCAGCGACCGCCCGCCCCCTCCCTTGCCGCGCCCAAAGTAGTGACCGATCCGCAGCGTCGGCAGGTAGGCTGGCCGGCCGCTGTGCGCCGCCGCCGCCTCCGGAGGCGACGGCTCGTCCTCGGTCAGGTTACCGGAGCCCTGGTGGCGCATGAGGACGACCCAGCCGCGCTGCGAGCACGCCGCCGGCATGTGGCGCGGCCGCAGGGCGCGAGGCCGGACACGCTTGCGCCACTCAATATCCTTCGACAGCATCGCTGCAGCCTTTGGCAACGACCAGCCGTGCACTTGCAGGAAGCGCTGGTAGGTGTCGGCATCCAGCGTCTCGCCGCCGATCGCGTGCGGCAGCGGCGCGCTGACCTCAGCACGCAGCTCTGCAATCAGCTGCTGCCTCTCCGCGCTGCTGACTGTGCTGCCGCCGGCGCGCTTGCCCCTGGCCGCGAGGTGCACGGCCAATTTGGAGGCGAGGAGCAGCGGGAGTAGCAGTGCCAATCTCGGAGAGATTCGGGACAGCAGCGCTGCTCGGGAGGTGAGCGGACGGAGCAGGCGTCGAGCTCTTGGGAGCTGAACCATTGCTTGCTGTCGGAAAGAAGAATTCACGTACGTTCGATTAAAATCCCTTTGTGGTGGCGGCGTACCGTCCTCCCATCCCTCCCTTGGGTTGTCTGTTTTCTTTCTTTCTTTCTTAGCACAGGTTCGACACAGGTACCCAAGCACGATGTGCCGCTTTTCCAAGCACGATGTGCCGCTCGGAGCCTCTCCGAGTTGGAATGCTATGGCACCGTCGCCCGCGGCAACCTGGCGGACCCACAGGGCGGACGGCACGCCGTGCCCTGGATCCCAGTCGGTTTGGGTATCGTATGGCACGCCAGGCGAGTGCGGCCGATACTCAAAGCCCGCGCGGCTGAGCGTGATGGGCATCTCGGTGTTGCAGTAGGCGGCGTCGTGAGGATCCCAGCCGTTGCGCACGTAATATGACGAGTCGTTGTTGAACCAGAGGGCCACGTTCACCGTCGCCTCAGCCGGCGCGTCGAAGCTCAGTTCGTAACGCGCCGGTACGTGCCAGACCTGACCGTATGTCGGGCGGCGTGTGGGCTGCTGCGCTGTGCCTCGGTGGCACGTCCCGACACACCCACGCCAGCCTCCCCGCGCCGCGCGTTTCTTTCGCGTTGGCGCGTGACTGTTTGTTCCTGTTGTTCCTGTTGTTACTGTTGTTCAGCGGTCAGGAAGCAGAAAATGCCAAAAAACCCGGGTAAAACCCGAAAATACCTGGGGTTTTCCGGGTATCTTCGGGTATTACCCGCACTGGACGCTGCTCGCTGGAGATCGTCGTGGGTCACTGCCAGGCCTTCCTTATTGTTGTTCAGCCGGCCTAAGCTAACGTTAGCTACTGTTGTTGGCTTGGGGAGCCCCACTGTTGTTCTGTTGTTACTGTTAACACTAGCAACACTGTTCAGCTCCCAACGTTAAACAGCTCTAACAAGCACGGCGCGCCCACGCCCGCGCGCTACGCCTGCTTGGCCGTCAGCCCAAAGGGCAGGCCGCCGCCGCCGCCGTCCCCCTGCCCCTTCGCCGCGGTGAGCTTGCCCACCGCCGCCGCGCTCAGCGCCTGCTCGACCACGCCCGCCAAACCGGCCCGGGGGCCCGGGCTGTCCCGCATCGGCAGTACGGGCATGATGTACTCTATATTTGCCGCCTGCATGTATGCGTGGCAGAAGAGGAGCAGCCGCGACTTGGCCGCGTAGATGGCCATGATCTCGTGCGCGGCGTACACGCTCGTCGGCCAGATGTTGAGGAGCAGGTGCCCCTTGTCGAGCGCGGCCTCGCCAAACTGGTTGTCGCACGCGCTCCAGTCGCCCGACCCGTCCGAGACGTACGAGGTGATCGCCTCGAGCAGCTCGTTGATCTTGCTCGACTGCGTGGCGACCGGCACCATCAGCTGGACGAGCAGCGTCAGCTTGCCCGAGCGCGACAGGTTGGTCAGCGCCATGTTCTTGACGGAGCTGTTGCTCACCACCATCGCCTCGCCGTTGGCGGTGAGGAAGTGCGTCCGCATCACCTCGATGTCCTTGACGATGAGCGAGTACAGGACGGGCCCCTGGCCGGGCGTGGCGACGTACACGCGGTCGCCGATGTCGTACGGGCGCGTGACGTACGTGAAGAAGAAGCTGCTGAACACCTCGGCGACCAGGCCGCCGGCGAGCGAGAAGAAGACGAGCAGCGCCGAGGTGAGCGGGATGAGCATGCTGACCAGGTTGATCCGGATGAAGGGGAGCCGCAGCAGCAGCACGAGGAAGATGAAGGCGACGAGGACCTGCAGGCCGCGCAGCAGGATCTTTTGCAGCCGGTCGAAGCTCTCGACCGAGGCGGTGAGCAGCCGCTGCTCCTTGTACGAGCGCTCGACCACCTTGCAAAACTGGTCTCTGTCGACCAGCTGTCCGTACGGGAAGAGGTCGGCCGCGAGCTTTGGCGGCGGCGGACGCCGGTCGCCCTGGTAGGCCCAGCGGAGGAGCGCGTCCCGGTCGACGGACGGCTCCTCCTTCTCGCCGCTCGTGCGGCCCGTCCGCCTCGGCGGCAGCGTCACCAGGCCCTCCTCGCGGAGGAGCAGGTTGAAGATGCGCTGCGCGCGCCGGCGCGCCTGACAGAGGCTGGCCGCCTCTGCGAGCTCAGAGCCGAGGTCGAGCGGCCCGGCCAGCCTCTGGAGCTGCTGCTGCAGCTTGCTGAGGCCGGAGAGGTGCCGTGAGAGCAGGCCCTCGCCCGCCGCGTCCCGGGGCGACGGCCGCATCGGGTAGGCGCGCCGCCGCTCGCAGCTCTTGGCGGCGGCCGCGACCTTGCGCAGCGCCGCCTGCTGCTCGTAAGCGGACTGGGAGCGGTCCTCGTAGTGCTTCAGCGCGAGCTGGTTCTGCGAGAACTGGACGGCGGCGTCGAGGAGGCAGAACGCGAGCGCTGCCGCCAGCATCCACATGCTGGCCGGGACGAAGGAGGGCAGCTCGTAGAGCCGCTTCCAAGTCAGCCGGTCAAAGTAGAGGAGACGGAAGACGCCGTTCGTCGCGGGGAAGAGGATCGCCGGGGGGCAGAGCGGCATCGAAAAGATACTGTGCAGTAGCAGCACCACGATGCCGGGCAGCGTGCGCAGGATCGACGGGATGCTCAGAAAGGAGATGACGACGAGCGAGAGGAGGCGCGCCGCAGCGAGCGAGTAGAGCGGCCGCGCGATCCAGAGGATGAGGTATTGGGCGAGTCGGATGTCGTCGTCCGGCCCCCAGCCATCCGAATCGTCGGGCTCAGCGTACAGCTTGGGGCCCGTGACTGCGCCAGTGCATTTGGATAGAGACATGCATCTTGGATCAATCTTTGACGGCGCCTCGACGAGGATGACTGCAACGGGCACCGCGAGCAGGAGGGCCGCGCCGGCCAGCTCGCGGAGCAGCAGAACGCCCAAGCTGAGACTGCACTCGGAGAACGTCGGCATCATGCGCCGCAGCCGAGTGAGTTGAGATGGCGGCGGCTTGTCTGCGCCTTTGGGGGCCCACACCGGCAGGTGGTCGGTCGAGCCGAGGATCGGGTCGAGCTTGTCGCCGATGCGCTCCCCGCTCTTCGGCCTCTTGTCGCCGATGCGCTCCCCGCTCTTCGGCCTCTCCTCGGCCGCCCGATGGCTCGCGTGCTCCTCCTCCTCCAGCTCAATCTCCTCGAGGATCGAGTTCTCGACTCTGTCGACGGCGCCCACTGGAGTCATCGAGGCATTCATGTCGTGCACCATCTGCAACGCCTCGGCAAAGTTGGCCGACTCGGCAACCACCGAGCCGCTCCTGCCCCGGTCGCTCTCCGCCATCGTGCCGCTGTGTGACTACCGAGACTTGTTCGATAGCGCAGCCAGGAAGGAGGAGACGGATTGCATAATAGCGGAAAAAAATAACAAAACACACGGGACACACACCCCAAGCGCTGGGGGTCTAGCTCACCTGTTTTCCACGTTGTCCCTTGCGTCCCTGGTGCTCTCCGTTGGTTGTTTTCCGTCCTTTTTGCTTTTTCTCGCGTTCTCCCGGTTCCCGTTTTTCCGACTTTTCCGATCGGCCAAGTTTCGTGTCTCGCTCTGCGCGTCTGCATGCTCCGCCTCCCGCTCCCCGCGTCGTCTCTGCTCTGCGTCGTCTGGCGACTAAGGGAACCTTAAGTAGTACAAGAATATGGGAACACAAGCAGCACAGCGGTATCACCATCTTCCCCAAGTACAGTGTGCTACGAACAGCCGGGGAGCACCGTGCGCGCGCCGTACCGCGTACGCGGCTACAGTCATGTCAACTCAAATCGCGGGGCATCCGCTAGAACAAATGGAAGGTTCCACATCATGCCGAGACATCAGGAGAGGATCTGGACGCGCAAGAGCCGTCGCGTGGCGCGAGCGGCTTGCATGGGCGTGCTGCTGCGGCTCTCAGCCCTCGCCGGCGCCTCGTCTCCTCCGGATCTCGCCGTCGACACCGACGGCGGCGCCGCCCCCAAACTCGTCCAGCAGCTTCTGCAGCTCGCGCGCGCCCTTCGCCTTGGGCCCGCGGCCCTCCCCGACGGCTGGCTTGCCCGACGGCTCTCCGCTCTCGCTCGGGTCTCGCTCGGCGTCCTCCTCGCTCTCGGCGGCAGCGGCCGCGCGTGTCGCCGCAAGCTCGGCGTGGCCCTCGCCGCTGAGGGCGCGGCCCTCGCCCCTGAGGGCGTGGCCCTCGGCCAAAGGGGCGGCGGCGGCCAGCCCGAGGTGGTAGGCTGTCCCCGACTCGGTCACCACGCGCGCGTGCGGCTGCAGCGGCTTCAGCCGCTGCTCGAGAGGGACGGCGCTCGTGCTGATGAGGGTGCCGTCCTTGAAGCCCGCCTTGCCGTACACCCGCCCCGTGAGCCTCCCGTCCTCCTCCCACCGCCAGCTGCAGAGCGTGGGCTCCCCGTCCGCGCCGCGCGCCTCTGCCGGCGTGGCTGGCGCCGCGGCGAGCAGCTGCTCCAGCTCGGAGAGCAATCTCGGGTGCGGGCTCAGGAGGGAGCGGAGGGCGGAGTCGGTCGGGCTTCGCGAGGCCTCGGCCGAGCCGTTGGCCGCCGCCCCCTTGCGCGCCGGCGGCGCCTGCTCGGCCGCCCCAAAGTGGGCCAGCAGCTGCGTGAGCCGCTCAAACGTGTCGGGCTGCGACGCCAGCAGCTGCTCCTTGGCGGCCGCCACAAACGACTCCATCGCGCCCTGGAGCGGGTTCGGCGCGGGCGGCGGCGGCTTGGCCAAGGCGGCGGCGGCGGCGGCGGACGACGTCAGATTGGCCTTGGCGCGCGCGTCGTCGCGCTTCTTCTTGCCGCCAAAGGTGTCGGGCAGCAGCCGGATCTGCGAGAGGCCAACCGTCTGCTCGTCCCAGTCGTCGTAGCGCACGGAGTAGCCGCCCTGCTGGTTGGTCGAGAGGATGGTCCCCTTGTAGTAGCTGTCCTCCCCCGGCCAGGCGGCAATCACCTCCAGCCCATCGGCGACCGCCTCCCTCTGCGGCGGCGCGTCGAGAACCAGCTCGCGCACGGTGACCCACTGGTCGGCGCCAGAGTCGAGCCGGACCAGCACCCACTTGGAGGAGGACTGCACCCTCTGGATGACGCCGTGCGAGAACTTGATGAAGGACAGGCGCGCCCACACCGGGGCCCCAATCACGAAGCCCTCCGCAATGAGCTCCGGCGGCGGCCGCTTCTTCGGCCTCTCCGCCGGCTCCTTGGCGGCCGCCGGCGCCGCGCCGCCGGCCGCCTCCGCGCCGCCCGCTGGTGCGGCCTCCGCGCTGCCCGCCGCCGCGCCGCCCTTGCTTTTGCTCGCCTTCCCCACGGACTCCGCCTTGCCCTCGGCGCCCGCCGTCCGCTCTCGCTCTGCAGCGCGCTCTTCGCGCGGCGACGGCCCCGCCGGGGCGGCGGGCTCGGGCGCCGGCACCGCCACCTTTGCGAGCGGCTTGACGGCCGGTGAGCGGACCTTCGTGGGGATCTCGCCCTGCAAGTCCCATTTGCGCAGGTGGACGACGGCGCCGGAGCCGAGCTGCAGGCGCACCCAGCCGTTTCCCACGTGCAGGACCGTCGCCTTCTCGCCCGCGTGCGCGCCGGCCGCCACGGTCACCTCGGGATTTTTGCCGCCCGGCGCGCTGTTGGTCGCGCCGATCGACGCCAGCGGGGCTTGCTTCTGCGGCTTCTCGGCGGGCTTGGCGACTGCGTCGTCCGATTCGGACTCGGAGCCGCCAGAGCTCGTGCGCGGCGCGGTGGCGGCGCGCATGCGGCGCGTCATCTGCTGCGGTGGCTTTGTGCCGCCGGGAAGCCGCACGCCCTCGGCGCCGCGCAGCCTGAGCACGACGTGGGCAACGGCCTTGGCAGCCGGACCCGCCGCCTTGGCGCCGCCCTTGGCCCGCGCGTCCGCCTCGTTCGCCCGGTCGATCAGCTCCTGCTGGTGCGGGAGCAGCGCCTGGTCGCCGGGCGGCACCCACCTCCACTCGTCCTCGTCGGTCACCCACTCCCTCCGCACGTACCCGTCGAGCTTGACCCGCAGCCCCTTTCGCATGTCGACAGAGACAACCTCGCCGCGGTACGGCACCGACACCATCTGCTTGCCCTGCCGCTCCTCGTACGAGACCTGCACGCGCAGCCCGATGGCGGCGCGCGGCGAGTACCCGCGCAAGTCGATCACATCCTCGAGCCGGCCCTCGTCGTCGTCGTCGTCGTCGTCGTACTCGTCCTCCTCCCCCCCCCCGTCCTCCTCCTCGCTGTCCCACGCGCGCGCGCCCTCGTCGAGGCGCTGCCGCGGCGCGCCGCGCCGCTGCCCCGCCGGGACGCCCTCCTCGCGCTCTCGCCTTCTCGCCGCCGCGCCCTCGACCCGCACAGCGCCGCTGCCGCTGTCGGCACGGCCCACCGCCTGGAGCAACGCCGCCCCGCCGTTCCGCTGGTCCAAGCCGATGTGCGGCTTGAGCGAGGCCATCTGCTCCGCGTGCCCGCCCCACGGCGCCGGCGGCGCAACCACCGGAGCCGGCAGCGGTGGCGGCGCGGCGGTGCGCGACGCGGCGCCAAAGCCGAGGAGCAGCGCCGCGACACTGTCGTCCTCTGCGCACGGTGTAGGGGCGGCCGGCTCGGGCGGAGGCGGTGGCGGGGGGAGCGTCTCGTTGGCCAGGAGCTGCGGTGGTACGTATGGCTGCTCCTGCTTCGGCGGCGGCTGCATCGCGTGCGGCTGCGGCAGAGGCATCGGACTCGGGGGCACCGGCGCGAGCGCTGGCGGTGCGGGCTGAAGCGGTGGCTGCATAGCGAGGGCGATGGCGCTCATTCCGCCGGCCGCCGGCGCGAGGTGTCGCGAGGCGTCGTTGCCTCCCGCCCGGCCAACAGCCACCCGCGGCTCGACTGCTTGCTGTGTCGGCGCTGCGGTGCACGGCGCCGGAGGGGAGCCTCCCCACGCTGCCTGGAGGAGGAGCTCCGCAGCGTCGTTCCTGGTCGGCGCCGGCGGCGCAAGCGCGGCGGCGGAGGCTGCGGACGCCTCCTGGAAAGACGCCGGGGCGCCCGTACCCTCGCGTGCTGCAGCCGCAGCCGCGCAAGGTGCTGCAGGCTCCGCCGCCGCAGGTCGAGGCTGCAGAGGCGGCGGGGCTGCAGGCTGCGGCCGCCACTCAGCCGGCTGGGCAGGCGGCAGCGCTGCTGGCGGTGGAGCGGTCCGTGGCGGCTGCGCAGGCTCGAGGCGGGCCGGCGCTGGAAGATGCCCTTTTTCAGAGATGCGCTGCGCGCAGGCGCCCGCGATGTCCTCCTCGACGCCCGGGTGGCTGGCCGTGTCGGGGCTGTCCGGGATCGGCGAAGTGGGCGGCGGCTGGATCTTGGGCTGCTGCATGATGACCTGCGACGGGAGGGCTCTCTGGTGAGGGGCGAGCCGGCGCGATGAGGAGGCGCGCGGCGGCCGCGGCGGCCGCGCGCGCTGGGAGAAGGGCGGCCGGGCGGGGGCGCTGGCCACCGTGGCCTCGGAGAGGACCTGCATCTCGTCAAGACGCGCGTCGCGCGTGATGCGCAACGGCGAGTCGCACGAGGGCAAGAGGAGCGGCGCTGCAGCACTCTCCCTGTCACCCTTGGACGAGGTGTCTCTTTTTTTTCGCACTCTGTGTCCGCTCTCGCCCACACCCGCCGCCTGAACCGCGCCATTCGCTCTCACCTGGCAACCCTGTCTGCACGTCTCGCGCGCGCGTGAACAGGGCTCCAGGCCCCAAATGACGCGTGAGAGAGATTTTAGAAAACCAACAAGAAATCACGACGCTCACAGTGATTTGGGCTCGGCAGCTTCTCAGCCCTCAGCCGAAGCTGGGGCCGGTCCCGTAGCCGAGAGAGCCCGCGCCGATGAGTTCGACGCGGTCCGAGGGGGGGCCTGCGGAGAGGCCAGCGAGGTGGCGATCGCTGTACTTCATTTCTCTCTCGCGTGAGTGTTAGAGTTGTTTGGTATTGCTAAAAATCTCTCTCATAACACATCCCACTGGTTGTTATGAGAGCCAGCATAACAACCTCATAACAGCTGTTATGTGTCCCACGGATTTTTCTTTTGGAGCCCCGCCGCGCGTATCCCGGCGTTTCCCGCCGTTTTAGGGCCTACCCACCCGCTATGCCGCGCCGGCGCCTTGATCGCCGCCGCCACCGGCACCGGCACCGGCACCGTCTCCACCGCCGCCCTTTCCGCCTCCACCCTCTCCGCCGACACCCCCTGCTGGATCCCTGGATGATCGGGATCGGGTTACGGGCTAGAGAGCCCTAGCCCCGGGGGTGCGCGTTCGCAGGGAAAGGGCCATAAAGTAAACACGCGTCTCCGAGGGTTGGCTCCGCGCTCCGGGTTTCCCCTAGCAGCAGACCGCCCCCTCTACTCGGAGCTATAATGAACACCAGACATGAACACGACACGCACTCTCACACGACGTCACCGCTCAGGGCCCCTTCTCGCGGGGTCCTCATCCTCACTCCGGAGGAGGCTCCCCTCTGCCTCTCCTCTGAGTTCTTCCTCTTGTTCGCCTTCCGATGATCATCCGACGGGCGCGGGGCCCGACCTCCCCTCCTAGTCTTTTTCAGCCTTTTTATTGTCGACGGGCAGCTCAAAACTTCTTTCAAGCGGAACTTGCGCGGTGCTGTCGAATGCTGTCTGAAGGAAGGGAGCCTCTTCAAGAGAAGGAGATTGATTCACAGGAAGAGAGGCCTTTTGCAAAAAGCTAGAAAGTAATCTACTCATAGCGGTGGTTGAGACCGATTGCCTCAACTGTCAACCACGTGGTTGACAGAGGCCTCAACCCTCAACCAAGTGGTTGACATACCCCTTCAACCCCTCCCCTATGAGTAGAAAGTAAACTCGTTCCCGGAGCTTGGACGCGTCCCATGGACGCGGCGGCCTGGAGCGCTCCAGACGATCTCGAGCTTCGAGGCCTCGAAGCATGACGATGGCAACCACGACAGGGGCGAGTGCCGGGGGCGCGAGGAAGATGATGTGTGGCGTCGATGGCAACACCTTTCGACGCGTCCTCCTCGCGAGGGCAGCCTTCCGAGGCGTGGTCTTTGGAGGCCTGTTGTACCTCGGCGCCACCACGCTCGACCGCATCAAGCGCCTGGAGGACTCGAATGCTGCCATGGCGCTCAAGCTGGACACGGTCAACAAGGAAGTCGTGGCCGCCAACTAACCGCATAGGCGTCCCACAGCCAGGAGTGCCCGTCTACTCTGTGCGAGCCCGTGTGTAGGATGTGCGTGTTTCTGTGAGCCGATGTGACAAGATTCATGCGCTATAAACAAAGTCATGCGCTATAAACAAGGCTCAAACAATAAACGAATGACGAAGGAAGAGATATCTCATCGTCCTGGCAAACCTGGGGGCTGGCCCCACGTCGCAGAAGGTGTGGTCGGCTTGGGCTGGCGAATCGCGGCTAGCAAAGGGGAAGAGAACGAAACCTCACCGACCTTTGGGCCTCAGCTAGACCCCGTCTGGACGCACTCGCCGCCCCGCCCTCTCCGCCGCTCCGCCACGCCCTCTCGGATCGCCTCGCCCGAGCAGATGATCAGGCTGAGCCCGAGCGGCACGCGCAGATGCCGCAGCGGAAGGCGGAGCCCTTGAAGAGGGCGGCGAGCCCCTCGTGCCGCAGGATGTGCAGTATAGTCCATTAGTTGGGGAGTGAGCTAGTTAGCTAGGCGAGCCCCTTGTGCGCACAGGACGTGCAGCCTACCGCCAGGAACGCACCAGAGAGCAGAGTCAGGGGGCGGGAATGCGGTACCGTGCGGTGTGTTCGGAGCACCACGCGACGGCAGGGGCTTCGAGTGCTGAGAGCGCGGCCGAACATACAGCCGGATGCAGCTGAGTGCGTGTCCGCTCTGTGATATGCGGCATATCGCGGCTGTATCGGCTGACCTCGGCTGCACCTCGGCTGTACCTCGGCTGTACCTCGGCTGTACCTCGTGTGTGCAGCATCTGGGGCGTGCGTGACCCGCTGCGTGAGTAGCTCGGGTAGGCGGAGAAGTGTGGCGAGCCGCGCAGATGCGTCTGCATCCGCGTCTTGATGACGTCGTCGGGGTGGCTCACCTGCGAGATTACCCGAGATTGAAGCGAGGTCACGAGAGAGATGAGGCGGATCAAGTAGTTGGCTCACCGCCGTGCAAACGACGCCTCCGAGGACGGCGCCCGCCACCTGCTCTGTCTCTCAGACAGCCCCCCCACGGAAGGGGAGATGCGTGCCGTCGCTCCGCTGCTGCAGGTGCACGTGTACGCCATTCGCGGCGACGACGAGCTGCGGTTGAGGAGGGATGGCCGCAGCGCGGCGCTCGGCCCGTGCCACCAATTCACCAACGCGCCTCTCGCCCGCCGCGCAGGACGCGCCAAGAGCAGCTTGGGCGGCGCTGCTGCCTGGCACGGTTGCCGCTTTTCCGGCTCCCTACCGTCCCATCGTCTCCTCCCGTCTCCTCCCGTCTCCTCCCCTCTCCTCCCCTCTCCCACCCTCTCCCACCTCTCCTACCCTCTCCTACCGACCGCCGTGCGTGCACGTCAGACCGCCTCTCGGCGGCGCGCTTGCGGCGCTCTCGTTCTCGCTCGGGACGCGAGTACGCGGCTCTCTCAACACCAACGCGGTATGGGTGGACACTAGACAGATGATGACGACACGCACGAGCGACACACAGACACACTGCCACCGCCGCTGTCGCCGCCGTCGAAGTCGGAGTCGTATCAAACTCGATCATCGCCGCCACCGCCGCGGCGGTGCTGCCACCCTGCACAGTGCCCGCGTCTCGCGCAGCGAGGTAGTCGCTGTAGCTCCTGGAATTGGCGGAGTCGCGGGTCTCCGCGGCCTTTGCCTCTCTTGCCTCTTGCGCAGCCTTTGCCTCTCTTGCCTCTTGCGCAGCGAGGAAAGCGCCAAAGCCGACCTCCCATGCGAACAAATTCGTCCCAGTGTGCGCTCATTCTGACACGTACGTGTGCTGCAGGGCGGCGACGCCAGGCCGAGGGCGACGACAACGGCATGACGAGTGCGAGAGCGAGAGAAATGTTTTCTCATATGGCGCTGGCCCGGCGACAGCCCCCCGCAGTGATACCACTTTGACACCGTCGCCGCCCGCCCTTCTTTTTGCACGACTAAATGTACAAGTGTAAGCGTGCCAGTGCGTGGCGCTTTTCGTCTATGTGAGAGGTTGAGGTGCGAGCCCTGGAGGCGCTGGGGATTCACACGACAGTCGAGAACAGACAGAGAGGGACGACAGTCGGTCGGACGGCACACTGCCTATTCAGGTGGCGAGTCGAAGTGCCGACGCCGACAGCGAAGTTCCCATCGGCAGCGGAGGCAGCGAGGAGGCAGCTGAGCTCCAGCACGCGTCGGCTCCGCCCACAAGAGACGTGGGAAGGAAGGAGCATGAAAGAGCCCACAAGTGCATGCAGATGTGCCGTCCAAAGTCAGCGTCCAAAGAGGCCTTTGAGCCAATTCCCGATAGTTGGGTGAGCAGGTGGCGGAGTTGGTGGCGGAGTAGGTGGCGGGGGGCGGGGGGCGGACGGAGGCGGCGCCGGCGAAATCTCGCAGGTTGCCCCCTCGTAAACCGCGCCGCACTTGCAGCAGGCTGAGAGCTGTGCTTCGCGTCGGTATCCCCAAGACGCAAGAGGGCGTCGAGCCCGAAGGGCCGAAAGGGTTAAGGTCAGGGATGTGGTTCATTGGGCCCGAAAAGGCGTGGAAAGGGTTGTCCGCTGGTATTCCAAACTTTTTTGCCACGGTGACGTTGAGCCAGGCGTAGTAGGCTAAGTGTACTTCGTAGTTTTGTAGTTGGAGGCACATATAAAGGGTCGGCATGTTGCAGGTCCAATCTTCCGGCACCGGGCAAAGGTCGAGCTCCCCTTTCTCCTTGATTTCGGTCAGCTGGACCCCAAACTTGGGGTCCTTGACATATCCGAAGTCCGAATAAAATCCAGCGGCGGCGAAGGTGCTCAGCGGACACTCGAGAGGGAAAGGCAAGCCAAAAATGTAGCTGAGCTGTGCGTCCGCCGCATCTATGTCTTCTTGACCGTAAAATGACAGCGAAGAAGTTTCGCCACAGAACTGGTTGAGGATTCTTCCGCTGTAAAATTCGTCTTCTTGAATAGCAGCATAGTTGCGTGTGAGCTTGTAGATAACTCCTCCCTTGCTGGGGGTCCGCGTGCTTGCGCAGTCAGAATACAGATGGCAGTAAGGAGTCATACCATCAGGGCCAGCTTTTGGCTGCCAGTAGATGTAGCTGCAAGAGGCGGTTGCAAAGCACGCTGCCTTGCAGGAATCGGCGGACGGGTACGGGCGTTCGGAGAGTTGGGAGTTCGACCCACATGCGAGATCACCCATGGACAAAGTCATGGCGGTCCAATCGCCGCCAAGCTCAGTCGGAACCGCTTTGAGCTGCATCCGAGTGCGATGTTCTGGATCCGTATCGAACTGCTTCTCAATAACGCACATGAATTTGGCAAAGCTCGAACTCGTCACGGATGCGCACTTTCTGTCGATACCAGCCTTGCACGTCGCTGTCAAGGCGTCTGCCGCATTGATTGGCAGATCGCGCTGCGTCAAAGCTCCCGATAAGTCAGGGAGCTCGACCGGCACCCCAAAGACGGTCCACTTTTCTGGCAGGTCCTGCACCTGCGCTCGAGATGGAAGAGCCCGGACTAGTGTCCAGCATAGGCCGCCAAGGCAAAGTGCGGCGATGCTGACAGGCCACGCCAAATGGCGTCGCAGCGGAGATGCTGCCCCGGTGGTCGGGAGCATGTTGCCGTGAGTTGGGCGTTCGCAGTCCGATCAACTCAGCCGTCCTCCCTGCACCCCGTCGGCCGATTTATAAGGATTTGGATGAACGTTCAGAGACGTTTCGGTTCGTTCAGGCAGAGTGCACCTACACACAGCGGCAGTCTTGCCGGGCTGTTGTTGCACTGTTCCTACAGTGGGTTGCGGGCATTAAGAAAACAGCATTTGGCGGCACGCCGCCGTTTCTAAGCCTTTCCACAGCCCTCATCCACCCCACGCCGTGGTTTCTTAGCTCCGGCCGGCACTCAGGCCAGAGGACTGCCAGAGCCGCCCCCCTAAGGATTTTAGGTAAGAGGTAAGCTGCGGTCCGCGAGGGCGATGCCAGAGTCTGCCGCCGAGTCGGCTCTCTGGATGACGGGAAGACGCACACACGCCTCCATCTCCACTCCACTCAGAACACCGTAGACTTGGAAAGTGACAAGTGCGCGCGCCGCAGGCGAAGAGAAATTTTGAGCTGGGGCTCCCGTTCACACTCGAGACTCGTGTCTGGCCTTTTCTCGGGGCCGCGCCTGCGGCGCGCCGTGGTTTCTTAGATTTTCGCGAAAATCGCTCGGCGTGGTTTCTTAATACTACGTTTTCTTAATGCCCGAAACCCACTGTAATAAGATAGGATTCCTAGGGTACTCTGGGTGGGCGGGGCCTCTACTCGCCTCCCGAGTCAGTAGCGGGCAAAAAAACCATTCGGATCGCTCCTCATCGCAAACCCGGACTGGACACCAACGCAGTATGGGTGGACGCGAGACGGAAGAGGACGACACGCGCGAACGACACAAAGACACACAAAAACCCACAAGACACTCAGCCAGCTGGGCTGCCACACATCCCGAGTGAGCGTACGGCACTACGCCACTCAGGGCCACGCACGCCCGGCCCCTGCCTGTCGCCCCCCCAGCACCCACGGTGCCAAGGGCACAAACAACAGCAGAAACACCACAAAACAGGCGACAGGCCCGAGTTCATTTTAATATAAAACAGGCGACAGGGCACGCGACGTGTGAGGCTAGAGCAGACTGCTCCGCCTCTACCAATCTCGCCGGCAGCATGTGATGAATCTAGCACCAGACCTGCCTGTGGTACTTGGCCCCCGCCGGGGGCTTGTAAAAAAGAAAGAAAGAAAACAGACAACCCAAGGGAGGGATTGGAGGACGGCACGCCGCCACCACACAGGGATTTTAAGGAGAGGGGTGTGATGCGCTAGCCGTCCGGGGGCTTGTCGTTGGATCGTATTCCTTTTCTCCACGCTGGCGGCGACGGAGACCACGTCCTCCAGCACACACTGGGCTCTGCCATGGCGGCGCACGCCGGCGGCTCGCTCGTCGAGCGCCCGGTCGCCTTCACGACCGACTCGAAGCACATGATGTGCTGCTCCGGCGCCGCGGTGAAGCTCTTCTCATGCGAGACGGGCGCCCTGCTGCGGGTGCTCGAGGGCCACACGGAGGACGTCACGGCCGTCTCAAACGTGGCCTCCAACGTCTTCCAGGGGCTGTCGGCCGGCCTGGACGGCCGGATTCTGCTGTGGGATCTCGACGACGCCACCATCCTGCGCGCCTTTTGCGTGGGCCGCCCCATCCTCGCAATGTCGCTGCACGCGACGACGCCTTCGACCGCCTTTGTGCTCACCAGCCCCGAGGGCAAGGCCGCGCCCGCCGGGACGCCGCGCTACGCGGAGGGGCTCGCACACGGGGGCCGGACCTACGCCGCCTCGCTCCGCGTGTCGAAGCGCAGCGCCAAGCGCGCCAAGGAGCTCGCCGCACGGAGCGGCCGCCGCGACGGCGACGGCGGCAGCGGGGACGGGGCGCTCGCCGCGGCAGCCGAGGAGGGGGACGAGCCGCTCGGGCCGGAGGAGGACGCGAGCGGCGCCTTCGGCAGCCTCGAGCGGCCGTGGCCCGCCGAGCTGCGCCCCCTCTTCCGCGCAAAGGCGACGGCGCTCGCCGTCGCGGCGTGCGGCGAGGAGAGCGCGTTTGTGGCGGCGGTGAGCGGCTCGTGGCTGACGGTTCACGACGTGGCGGAGCGGTCGACGGCGCACTTTCGGCAGCGTCGCGAGAAGCGCGCCGCCCTGCTCTGCGTCGCCCTCTCCCCCACCGAGCGCCTCGCCGCGACCGCCGACGAGCTCGGCCGCATCCATCTCTGGCGGATCGCGACGAGAGACGCGGCCGCGCGCGAGGCGACGGGCGCGAGCAGCTCAGATGGGGCGGCGCGGGAGATGCACTGGCACGCGCAGGCGCTCGCCGCGCTCTCCTTCTCCGTCGACGGCGGCCTCGTCCTCTCCGCCGGCCGCGAGGGAGTGCTTGTCTTGTGGCAGACGCACGGCGCAGAGCGCAACTTTCTGCCGCGGCTCGGCGCGCCGCTGCTCGGGATGACGCCGTCAGAGGACGGGGGCACGCTCGCGCTGCGCAGCGAGGACAACAGCGTGCAGCTCGTCGACCTCGGCGCGCGCTCCGTCCGCCGCGTCATCTACGGTGTGTCCCCTCCTCCTCCCCTCGCCCGCCCTCTCCTCCCCTCGCCCGTCTTCTCCTGCCCTGGCCCGCCCCCCCCCCCCCCCCCGCCGCAGGCCTCCGCCGCGCCGCCCGCGTGATCTCTGACCCGCGCCGCCGCGCCGTCGTCCTGTACGGCGGCGACGCAGCCGCAAGCCTGCAATGGTGGTCGCCCTCCACCGACGCCCACCTCGGCTCGCTCGCGGCGGCGCCCGCAAACCTGTCCGGGTCGCTGCCGGCGGTGGGCTCGTCCAGGGATGCACGCCGCTCCTACCGCGGCACCGCCGCCGCCGGCGGCACTTCCGCGCCGCGGGTGACCGACGCCGCCCTCTCGGCAGACGGGTCGCACCTCGCCACGTTTGAGGTGCGCGCCAACGCCGAGCTGCGGCAGCACACGTGCCTCAAGCTCTGGCAGCAGCGGGACGGCGCTTGGACGCTCGTCACGCGCGTGCCCCAGCCGCACGCCGGCACCCTCACCGCTCTCACTCTCCACCCGACGCTGCTCATCGCCCTCACCGCCGCGCACGACGCAAAGTTCAAGCTCTGGGAGGCGATCCCCCCGGCGGCGCCGGCGCCGGGGCCGGGCGCCGCGGAGCCCGCGGCCGGGAGCAGCGCGCCCCTCCCCGCGGGAAGCGCGGTCGGCGGCTGGGCTTGCCGCTCCGTCGGCTTCTACCGGCAGAGCGCCGCGACGGCCGCCGCGTTTTCGTCGGACGGCTCGGTGATGGCGGTGGCGTACGCGCCCGACGTCATCACGCTGTGGGAGCCGCTCACCAACGGGCTGCTCGCCACGCTCTCTCAGCCGCTCGAGGCGTCGGACGGGTTCGTCTTCCTCGCCTTCCCGGGCGACGGCGGCACCCTCCTCGCGCACACCTCGCGCGCCGTCTTTTGCTTCTCGCTGCTCACGTCGCATGTGCTGTGGGCGTACCAGGCGCCCGAGGTGCTCGCCGCGGCGGCCGACCCGTGCTCCGACGCGACGCTCGTCGCGGTGGCGCTCGCGATGCCCTCCGCGCCGCGCAGCGCAGACGGCCGCTGCACCTCCTTTGCGATCCTCGAGTTCGACGGCACGTCGCAGGCGAGGAGCGACGGAGCGGCCGGCGCCGGCGGTGGCACGATGGGCGCGCCGCGGCGCGCGTGGCGCCTCTCCGAGGTCCCGCGCTCCGTCGGCTTCCTGCACGCGGAGGCGGGCGGACGCGGCACGCCGCTCTGCCTCGGCGCGGGCGGCGAGCTCCACTTCCTCGCCCCCGAGGGCCGCGCCGCCCCCGCCCCGGGCGAGCGGGGCGCGGGCGCGGAGGGCCGTTCGGCCGCGGCGCGGACGTCGCTGCGGCACGCGGCGCCGTCGCGGCTCGAGTCGATCTTTGGCGCCAACGCGGTGCCCGAGGAGCTGACCGCCGCGCCGGGCTTGCTCGGCATGGATGTGGAGGAGGAGGAGGCTGCCAGCGCGAGCGGCAGGCCGACCGCGGCGGCCGCCTCGCGCGCGCCCGGCTGGGAGGGGCGCGCTATCGACGAGTGGCTGGAGCGCAACCTGTCGCGCGTCCCCTCGCACCTGCTCCCGCCGGTGCGCGTGCTCTTCCCTCGCTTGCTGGGCGAGCTCGTGCTGCCGGCGCCTCACCTCGCCGCCGCCAACGGCGGCGCCGGCGCCGGCACCGACTCGCCCGAGCCCCCCTCGGAGCTCGAGCGTGTCCTCGCCGCGGCGGCGCACGCGCAGGGGCGCGGCGGGCAGTTCTCGCGCCTCGTCGAGCTGTATACGCCGGCGGTGCGCCGCGGCTCGCTCACCGCCGCGGAGCGGAAGCGGAAGAAGGCGGCGCTGGCTAGCGGCGGCGTGCCGGGCGACACGGACGACGGGGCCGGCGGGGCGGCCAAGGCGGCTCTGGCAGAGGACCTGCTCTGCGGCGGTGGCGAAGAGGACGGGCCGGTCGCAAAGATGGAGGAGGAGGCGGCGGCGGACGAGGCGGGCGTGGACGAGGCGGGCGAGGGGGCCGAGGGCGGCAACGGCGCCAGCGGGGCTGGCGACAGCAACGGCGGCAGCGAGACGTGGCCTCCCCGAGGCTGGAAGCTTGCGCCGCTGGGCGAGCTGCCAAACCCAGGCGTCCGCCTCGCTCGGCCGCGCCCCTGCCGGCTGCGCACGCCCCTGACCGCCGGACCGCCCCGCGCGCAGGCTACCTCGTCCGCGAGCTCGGCGACCTCCGCGAGGACGAGGGCTTGGGCTGGGACGGCGAGGGGCCTCCGCCCGGCCTCTCGGCCGCCGACGCGGCCTTTTGGCGCGAGCACGCGATGGGGTCGGAGGCGCTCGACGCGATCTGCTCGCTCGCGGCCGAGGAGGGCGGGACCGGGGCGGCCGCCGACGCCGCGGCGGGGGGCGAGTTGCTCGTGTGGGACGCCGAGGACGAGAGCCCGCACGAGATTTGGCAGCGCGTGCTCGCCTCCGGGGACTTGGCGGGCGTGCAGCTCCCGGGCGCGACCGCCGAGCACCGGCTGGCGCGCGAGATCCAGGAGGCGGAGGAGCTGCTCAGCCGGGCGGGCCTCGACGCGGGCGCGTGCGGGTACGGGATCGCGCGCGGGCCGATGCCGCCCGACATG